AAATTAGTGATAATCTACAATTACTACCACTTAAGTATAGGCTTCTTGCAGAAAATACGCTATTAAACCAAATTCCGAGATGGTAACAAAGTAAGGAACGAAGAAGAACAAGTAAATCTCTTAAGATAACAAATATTTGCCATAATTCCTAGATGTATCGAAGCATTATAATTAATTACACATCCTCACAAAAGATCCAGCTAACAATGTTCAAATAAGTGAAAGAGACGAATTTGTAAACAGGAAAAAAGCGGATAATGAGTGGCAATGTGACACGTGAATTTCTCGCCAGTACTTAGGTTGATGACGTCAGCACGAGGATCTCGTCCGAATCCTGGAGTACGGTATCGTCCAATTATCCATATATCCTTTACTCCTATTAGCTCAGCATTGTTAGAGATCTCTATAAGATTTGGAAAGATGCACTTTTGAAAGAATATTTCTAATAATCCTGAGATTCGAGGAAGAGTATATGATCTCCGCTTGGGACCTGGAGATTCGAAAAGAGCGCCAACCCATCCATAGCAGAAGACTTCAAAATCAATGATTTCAACAGTCTTTCGCAGCGCTGTGGGACAAGCACCCCACATAGAAAAACTTGGGTTTTTGACAGACAGATGGGATCATATGAATATGAAGTAATGTGATGGACAGAATTACGGTAATAAGTAAATCATCATTCTAAAACAGCAAGATTCGGTCTTCTTATTCCCAGTATGTATCAGTGTAGCAGTATTTGTTCTAGTCAAGGCTCAAGAGAACTTTTCCGGTCTGCTAAAGATATCCAAACTCTGCAGAAGATGTGTCATGTAGATTTCATGTAGATAACAACTTTTAGGGCATTTTGTAATACTAGGCTGCACAATCCTGTAACTGAACGAATTTCCATTGTCAGGGTTAAACAGACCTGAAAAATGCCAATCGTTTCTATTTGCAACGAGATACCGTACCAAAGTATTTCTAGCATTTATGAAGGCTCTCTACCTTCTCAGCTACTCTAAACTGAGATTACTTTCTCTAAGCAATGGGATGAGCTTTCGCTACTTATTTGGCAATCGCTGCTTTCTGAGCATCCGTGGGTTCAGTCTCTAAGTTTTTGTGTGGAATAATTTTGCGAGGATAGCGTCATGAAGACATCTTCTACAAACGGCCTTGAAGATATCGTCTTTGTCGAATTCTTAGAAAAAAAACTGAGATTTACAGTGCAGGTTAATGAACTATAAATATCCCGAAAAACCATCTCTAAGTAATTATTCCTCTCTGTGCTTTCGATTTCTCGTTACCAACTTCTGACGTTGCTTCCCCCTAGTCGTTCTATTTACGATGTCGCTCCAGTAAAAAAAATCATCCAGAATTCCTTATTTAGCAATGGCACGCATTGCGTGTTAAACGTCAAGTGAACTGGCGCAGAGCGAGTTCATGCGCTGACCCACTATTTGTGTAAAGTCTGTAGATTTCCTCTATCTATCTTTCTTCTTCCCTTATTTTTTATTACAGACTCTATAGGATCGGGTACTGAATAACATGATTATTTGAGGAGTAGAAAGCTGCTGCGATTCTGAAAAAAATAGTTTTTTCACTAACTTCACTAAACTAAATTTTGGTAGTAGAATCATAGCACTCATAGTAATACACTGGATGTCTGACAATGGTTTCACTTTTGAGTATGCTGAGAAACTCTGCAAATTTATTTTTTTATGGAGAAGAAGACAGTTCCAATCCTTGTACGGCTAATTTAGTCGTTAGCCGTGCCTGCGCCCGATATTACCATTGTACGTCTAGTTTCCTTCAGCTGACTTATGAACAGCATTACTTGTTAGAAGATGGCTCAAGCTGTGATCGCTTTAATTGGAGCATTTATTGTTTATTTGTTTATTTGCATTTATTTATTTATTTTCGTAACGTTCTAGTTGAACAATTTATTGAAATTGGCTTTTTGAGAAGTCTAGAACTGCATATGCAAAATAAAATGCATTGAATGTTAGCTTCTGTTGAGCGTAATAATGTCAACTTTTTTGTAAAAAGAATTTTTTACAGAGGGATCTGCTGTACAAATGCTCACATTGCAATGGATGAGTTAGATCAACAAATCATTCAAGTTTTTCATGAACTAGACTGGTTGGTTTATTTTATTGTCTTAGTTATGATATATTGAGTTCATATTCTCAAGCACAGATCCTATATTAGAAATTTTATAGTAATTGATATTCTGTCTCAATAAACCTAGTATCATAATGTTATATTGGCTACCTTATGCTTACTTCTATAGAAATTCATTTCTTAATGGTGTTTAGTACATTTTGGCATCCTGATCTCACTTCTCTTGAAGAATTATCACCTGACGACAATATCGAGTTTCTAATAAGGTGAGTATCTTCTTTGCATTTTTTCTATTTCTATATCTTTCCCTATCTCCTGTTTTTCTTGGTCACTTGCCCTTTATAGATGTCTATGGCTAATATCACCGATCTCAAAAACGACCATCACTTCGTACAAACTCCCTCCAAGTATTCTACAGCGGTTCCATGCTGTTACTTATCTTGCCGATTCGTTCAAGGTATTCAGACAATCAGAACTGCTCTTAAATCTATCATATGCGATTTAGGAGAATAACGTACGTGGAGATTTTGGCTATCAAACCCTGCTTTATGGAAGTACAGCAGAACTACGGCAGGTTTTTATTGCAGTAATCGAGAAGCTGCCGAAAAATGCGTCACCACATGCAGGAGAAAACTGTGAGTTTGATTTTCTTAAGGAATTTACTTGTTCTTACTTGCTTCATCTAAAAATAGTATGAAAAACGGAGGTCTTGTTAGCGCATCCTTTTTGGGATTTGCAGAGACATACATAATTGTTTATTCTAGTCTCTCAACTCTCATTCGATCCTGACTCAGCATGGATTCCAGAGTTTTGTCGTCGTCTTCGAATGAGGCGCCAAGGTCGTCTCTGGTTTCCTCCAGAGGTAAATCATAAACTTCG